GTAGAGACAACCCTGGTAATTATAGACCAGTGAGCCTTACTTCGGTTGTGGGTAAAGTGTTGGAAAGGATTATAAGAGATAGGATTTATAATTATCTAGAAAGGAAAAATTTGATTAGGGATAGTCAACACGGTTTTGTGAAGGGTAGGTCATGCCTCACAAACCTTAGAGTTCTTTGAGAAGGTGACCAAACAGGTGGATGAGGGTAAAGCGGTTGATGTGGTGTATATGGATTTCAGTGAAGCGTTTGATAAGGTTCCCCATGGTAGGCTATTGCAGAAAATACGGAGGCATGGGATTGAGGGTGATTTAGCGGTTTGGATCAGAAATTGGCTAGCTGTAAGAAGACAGAGGGTGGTGGTTGATGGGAATTGTTCATCCTAGAGTTCAGTTACTAGTGGTGTACCTCAAGGATCTATTTTGGGGCCACTGCTGTTTGTCATTTTTATAAATGACCTGGATGAGGGCGTAGAAGGATGGGTTAGTAAATTTGCGGATGACACCAAAGTCGGTGGAGTTGTGGATAGTGCGGAAGGATGTTGCAGGTTACAGAGGGACATAGATAAGCTGCAGAGCTGGGCTGAGAGGTGGCAAATGGAGTTTAATGCGGAAAAGCGTGAGGTGATTCACTTTGGAAGGAGTAACAGGAATACAGAGTACTGGGCTAATGGTAAGATTCTTGGTAGTGTGGATGAGCAGAGAGATCTCGGTGTCCATGTGCATAGATCACTGAAAGTCGCCACCCAGGTTGATAGCGTTGTTAAGACGGCGTACGGTGTGTTAGGTTTTATTGGTAGAGGGATTGAGTTTTGGAGCCATGAGGTCATGTTGCAGCTGTACAAAACTCTGGTGCGGCCGCACTTGGAGTATTGCGTACAGTTCTGGTCACCGCATTATAGGAAGGATGTGGAAGCATTGGAAAGGGTGCAGAGGAGATTTACCAGGATGTTGCGTGGTATGGAGGGAAGGTCTTATGAGGAAAGGCTGATGGACTTGAGGCTGTTTTCGTTCGAGAGAAGAAGGTTAAGAGGTGACTTGATAGAGACATACAAGATGATCAGAGGATTAGATAGGGTGGACAGTGGGAGCCTTTTTCCTCGGATGGTGATGGCTAGCACGAGGGGACGTAGCTTTAAATTGAGGGGTGATAGATATAGGACAGATGTCAGAGGTAGGTTCTTTACTCGGAGAGTAGTAAGGGCGTGGAATGCCCTGCCTGCAAAAATAGTAGACTCGCCCACTTTAAGGGCATTTAAATGGTCATTGGATAAACATATGGATGATAATGGAATAGTTTAGGTTAGATGGGCTTCAGATTGGTTTCACAGGTTGGCGCAACATCGAGGGCCAAAGGGCCTGTACTGCGCTGTAATGTTCTATGTTCTGTGCACAGGGCGAGATGTTCATTCTATCAATATGAACAGTAAAGTGTTTAACTTGATGTCATAAAGAATTGATTAATTTCATTTTTAGTCTTAACTCTCATCATTTAGGTTGTATAGATGAAATCTGATCTGCTTCCTTTTGTATTCAACACCATCTGTTTGATACTCTACCTTCAAGGTCATTTTACATGCAGTCAATGAAAAGGAGTGTGGAATTTCTGAAATAGGAACATTGGAGCACCTGTTTAACTAGGATTTTGATTAATAGAATATGTGCATACATTTCCAGGTTATTTTCATAGGGAAGTTGCCCGCTCTCTGTTCTTCATTATACTATAAATTCAGTGTTTCCTTCGTGGTGGGGGTAGTGAATTTGGACAAGATTAAGTTTTCATCTTCCTTCGCTTTTCATCAACAGGTTCCTGACAAGTGGGCAGGGTACTGATATTGGTTTGTATGCAGGGAGTGGAGACGACTTTCAATGCCTATTTGATTGTAAACAAGATGAGAACAAGCTTCTTTAGGCTTAGAATAGTTCAGAAAACAAATACTGGAGGAGACTGCAACTGTTTATTTGAGAGACTTGTGTTGAGTAAGTTGCAATTTGTATCCATAATGGATAAATTATTTATATATATGGAACAGTGACTCTGTTACCTTCAGTGAACATACCCTGTAATTCTAACAATTTAACATAGAATTAACATTCAGTGTTTGGATGGAAAACGATAATAACATTTTACTGTTTCTCACCAAAGACGACTAAAACTTTCCAAATGAATGTAAAATATTCATCCAATAGAACAGGTATTTAGCTGCAAAATGTGGTTGACGAAAAAGAAATTTAAAATTTGATCTAGTTTTGATTCAAGTATCTTTTCAATGAACAAAATCGTATCTTTGCATTTATGTAGTGTTTTTAATTTATGAAGTCATCCAAGGAGATTTACAGGGCCAATATCCTACAAAATGATGCACAAGATAATATGATGACAGTTGATCAAAAATTTGGTTAGAAGCAGATTTTAAGGAGTGTTTTTAAGGGGGATAAAAAGATGGGGAGGTTTATGGAGGGAGTTCCAGAGCTTAGGGCCAAGGCATTTAAGCACACTGCCACCAGTGATGGGTCAGTTAAGATCCAGGAGGTGCAAGATGAAAACTGGAGAAGGGCAGAAACACTGGCTGTAGCCTTGGAGGTATTTACAGAAATGGGAAGTGGCAAGGACATTGAGGAACTTGAAAAGAAGTATGAGAATGTTAAAATTAATTTGCATTACGTGAGCATTCGTATTTTAATATTTCAAGTGCTAAGACAGTTTGAGTAGCATAACTTGATTTTAGGAAATGTTATGGAAATCATTATTAAGTATGTCTAATTTTCTACCTATCTTATGCAGATGTTAACTGCAAAATATTCACTACTTTGTATGCATTTGGGCAACATGTCATAGACTTCAATGCAACAGCGTTACTGATTAACACTGGGACAGGAATAAACAATTTAACTCCCTGAGTTGCTTTAGCATTGGTTAGTACGGCAGACTGAGATTGATTCCACGATCGGTTATCTCAGGCTGCTTGAGGGAGACGTGGCTAAGAGAATTGAAGTTCTACAATTGCAGCCTTATCTCGACGTCTGCTTCCTGTGTGCACAAGATCTTGGAATTGCACGTGCTGTTCTGTCTGTCTTTAAGATTGTTTTATGCTTCTTTGCCTGCCAGATAATGCATGACTCAGTGTTAGTGAGTTCAAATTATTTTTACAGCTCCAACATCTTAGCGATATACAGATTTGAGAAAAGTAGTTTCTTTTTCACATTGTCTGATCATGAACAAATGAATATTGAGTTTCTGTGTGTTTCTTGTTTTCTAGACGATCTTCCAGAATTGAGAGCTGTAGAGACTGACAGAGCCATACCTGCAGCCTTCCAGTTAAGCAGTGAAGTGTCTCATCAAGAATGCCCGAGGTCTTCTCGTACCATGTGCACTTCTAGATCACCTGATAGTACCTTGCCACCTTTCACAAGTGAATCTGATGTAAATTGGCTGACTGAACTGGCTAATATAGCCACTAGCCCACAAAGTCCTCTCATGCAGTGCACATTTTATGACAGGTTTGTCTATAATATCAGCCAGATGACCACTTTTTGTAATGACTGAAGATGTATGAACATTGCTATTGAACATAACTGCCAACACTTGCTGTCAGTATATGCCGTTCACACTTGTTGAATTCTTTGTAGCAAATTGTGAGCATTATAAATGCCAAAACTGTGCGGTTCCACACAAATTTGGATGTAATGGAGGCTTCCAAGAAAAGTACTACAATAATTGTGGGAGATTTTATTCTAATTGAATGAGTCAAATTGGCCAAAGTATCATGGAGGATGGATTCATAAGTCACTTTGGGATGGCTTCTTAAAACAATAAGTTCTGAAACCAATCAGCCAACATAACATTCTGGACCTGATAATGTGTTATGTAACAGGTTAAGTTGCAACCTCATTCAGGAGCCTCTAGGCATGAATAACATGATTGAATTATGCATTCACTTTGAGTATTGCATTCTTCTGAGTTTGATTCATATACCTTAAGCTTAAGTAAGCACAATTAGGAGTGTATGAAGCCAGAGTTGGCTAAAGTGGACTGGGAAAAGTAGGAAATATTTTCTAACTCAACAAAGAAGTATTCTGTTGAGAAAGAAATATTTTAACATAAAGATGCACCATCCATGACTAACAGTTAAGGATGTTATTCAGTTGAAAGAAAAAACTAACAATGCTGGAAAGATTAGTGATAGACTCCCACTTTAAAAACCAGTAACAAATTACTCACAAAAGGGAGAAATTGTAGAATGAGACATAGTTAGGAAGAAGCAGTTAAAGCTGCTTCTACCAATATATAAAAAGAAGTAGCTAAATTTAGCACTAATCTATTTTACCCTGCAGCAGACAAATAGTGGGAAATAAGGAAATGGCAGAGACTTTGATCAAGTACTTTTATATTTGTATTCGCAGTAGAAAATAAAAAATCATTCTATGAAACTCAGAATAACGGGGGAGGGAGTGGGTGAGGAAGAGTGAGAATGAGAAACTGAACTATCACAATTACCTTGGAAAAAGTATTTAAAAATCTAATGGGACGAGAGACTCCTGAACCTGATGGCTTGCACCTTCGAGTCTTCAAGGATGTGGCTATGGCCATATTGAGTGCACTGGTTATAATCTTAGATTCTGGAAAGGTCCTGGCAGATTAGAATGCATATGTAACAATTATTCAAGAAAGGGAGAAAAAGAAGGAACTGTGTATAGGTCTGCTAGTCTGACATACATCACTGGGAAATGCTGGAATCCATTAGTACGAGGTAGTAGTGGGACAATTAGAGAATCATAATATAATCAGACAATCAACATGCTTTACTGAAAGGAAAAGTTGTATTTGACAAATGAGTACAATGTGGGGACATGAGAATCTGTTCACTTTGGCTGGATGAATAGAAAAGCAGAATATTGTTTAAATGGAGAAAGACATCTGGATGATGGATAAAAAGGTCTTTCTTCAGGATAGCAGCTGGTGACTGGAGGAGTTCCACAGGGGTCAATGTTGAGGCCGCAACTATTCACGTTACATTAACAATCTGGACAAAGGCACGGAGGGCATTGTTGCTAAGTTTGCAGAAGACATAAGGATAAGTGGTGGCACAGGTAGTGAGGAAGTAGAGATGCTGCAGGAAGACTTGGACGTGCTAGGTAAGTGGGCAAAGAAGTGGGAGATTTAATAGACTGTGGGAAAGTTTGAGATTATACATTTTTGTAGGAAGAATAGAGATGTAAACGGTTTTTTAAATGGGAAAAGCTTTGGAAATCTGAAGTACAAAAGGACTTTGAGAATCTTAGTTCAGGATTCTCTGCAGGTTAATATGCAGGTTCACTTTGCATTTGCCTTCCAAACTACCATGTTAGCATTTATTTCAAGAGAGCTGGAGCACAAGCATAGCTGTATTGTTGAGGCTGTATAAGGCTCTTTTTTGGAATATTGAGAGCAGTTTTGGGCCCTGTAATTAAGGAAAGATGTGCTGGCTTTGGAGGGTGCTCAAAGGAGAATTACAAGAATGATGTCTGGCATGAAGGGCTTGTCATTTGCGGAGCATTTGAGGGCTCCCGGTTTGTACTATATGGTGTTTGGAGAGATGAGGGGGGATCTGACTGATACTTACAGAATACTGAGAGGCCTACATAGAGTGGATGTAGAGTAGATGGTTCCACTCGTAGGAGAGTCTAGGACCTAGGAGAGTCTGGACACAGCCTTGAAGTGAAGGGATAACCCTTTACAACTGAGATGAAGAGGAATTTATAGAATCCTTACAGTGTGGAAGCAGGCCATTCAGCCTGTTGGGTCCATACTGACTCTGCGAAGAGCATCCCACCCAGACTCGCCCCCACTCTATCCCTGTAACCCTGCATTTCCCATGGCTAATCCACCTGACCTACACATCCCTGGACGCTATTGGCACTTTACCATGGCCAATCCACTTGACCTGCACTTGTTTGAACATGGGACGATACCGGAGCACCCAGAAAAAACCTATGCAGACACGAGAGAAGTGCAAACTGCGCGCAGGTGCGCCCAGAATCCAATCCTGGTCCCTCACGCTGTGAGGCAGCAGTGCTAACCACTGAGCCACCATGCCGTCATTTTTTCTTACTGGTCTGAACATCTACCTTCCCCTCAGTCCCTCCACTTGCTTACCTGCTGCTCTAGTTCCTAGTCCCCTGCCACTCTCTAGTTTAAACCCTCCTGAATAGCCTGCGAGGATGTTGGTTCCCTCCAGTTTAGGTGCAACCCCTCCCTCTTGTATAGGTCACCCCTGTCCCAGAAGTGGTCCCAGTAATCCAGGAACATGAAACCCTGCTCCCTGTACCCAGAGGTTTAGCCAGAGTGTGGTGACTGTTTGGAACTCATTGCTAAGAAGGCAATGTGGAGACCAAGTCACTGAATGTAATTAAGACAGAGGTTCTTGATTTAGTAAGGGGATCAAAGATTACTGGGAGAATGGGGTTGAGAACCAGAACAGACTTGATGGGCAGAATGGCTTAATTCTGCTCCTATTTCATCTGGTCTTGTGCTGTAGTATAAACAGCTCTGGGTACCCTTGTATATGAATCCCAGTATTAATATGCAGATACAGCACATAATTATGAAAACTAATGGAACGTTGACCTTTATCGAATGAGGGATGGACATGTTAATGTAAGGAATTCTTGCGAAAATTACGATTGCCTCATTGGTGTGACAGGACCTAGAGTACTGTGAATTATTTTGGCCACGTAGAGGAGACATAAGCTGGCATTGGCAAGAGAAGATTCGCTTAGTTAATTATGGGGATGAAGGGGTTATCTTTGAGCAAAGGATAAGCAATTTCATCCAATGTTTGAGATTAGAGAAATGAAAGAGAATCTTGTACATTCATATAGGATCATATGGGGGCTTGACAGGATAGATGCTAGGAGGATGTTTCCCCTTGTAGGGAAATTTAGGACTAGAAGGCAAAATTTAAAAGCTGATGCAGAGTCACCAGAATTAAAACCTTGACTCTGCTTTCTTCCTGCAGATGCTGCCAGACCTACTGAGTTTTGCCAGCAATTTCTGTTTTTGTTTAAAAATAAGCAGCCTCCCTTTTTAGGCTAGTGATGATGAGGAATTTCTTCTTTGAGGGTCATATGTCATTTGAATTCTCTTCCACAGAAGACAGTGGAAGCTGGGTTGTTGAATAATTCAAGACTGCATTAGATAGATTTCTGATTGGCGCAAATTGAAGGTTGTGGGTGCAGGCTGGAATGTGGAGTTAAAACTATAATCAGATCAGCACAATCTTATTTAATGATCATGGGGGATAAGTGGGTGAAATGGCCTTCTCCTGTTTCTTTTGATCTTATATTATCTGAGGCAATTACTACAGCTATTTTATATTTCAGTTAGGCATTCTTCTTTGTTTGCTTCCAGTACATCGACTCTTATTGATGACCCTTGAACAACTCCTCCATTCCATACTTGAGTCTTTCTATGAATTGCTTTGTCCAGTGGCTACAATACATGAGCATATTGGTCACAGGTATTAGGTCACAGAAGAAGGTAATTTCACCCATTGAGCTTTTGCTAGCTTTCAGCAAAGCAGTCGAGTCAGCCCCATTCCTTCTCCAAATTATTAATTTTCTTCAGTTTAGCTTCTATGGTTTAAAAGATGAGAATAAAAGAAAGGAGCAGGACGGGCCATTTGGCCCATTGGGTCTGCTCCACAATATTTATAAAGATTTAAAGTAATTTAAACACTTTCACATTAACTTCAGCCCTAATCTGTTATGTTTATGCCTTGACTATTCATTTTGTTGCTTATGTTTTTAATGGTATACATGAGAAAATTGACTCTGTTAAGCAGGCAATGTAATAATAGGATGAAGATTTTTTTTCTGTGGTTGAACGGCGATTTGTGAAATTGAATTTCAAATTGATGAAAGCTTAGACCAATGAACTTGCCATAGCGTGGTAAATATTAGCACTTGGATGTACAGCACAGGAAGATAGTTGGTGCATGTCCCAGCCTTTGAATGCCCAAGTAGATTAAAACAAATTAAGCTGGATGGCTACAAACATTAATAAAAAGACAGTAGGTTTCTTATAATTGCAAAGATACCAATCTTAATATAATGTTGTAAAGTAAGTTTAGGTACATAAGTGTGGATTTGTAGTTGTATTTTACAGCTACACAGTCAGTAAAAGTTTGGCTACAGTATGAAGCATTTTTACAAATCATTCTTGGGATTTGACTGTCACTGGCAAGGCCAACAGCATCTGTTACGCATTCCAAGTTGCCTTTGAAATCTAGTGAGTAGCCACCTTGAATTGTTGCAGTCCATGCAGTGTAGGTACACATAAAGACTTTATGGAAGAAATTCTAGAATTTTAACCCAGTGACAGTGAGGGGTACAGTTCTAAATCGGAATGCAATGATCAGTTAATAGCTCAACCTTTGACCTTAAAGTGAAGCGAAGATCATTTGAAGAAGTGGAAAATGGTTCTGCCAAGGATACTGCCCAGAGGAACACTTGCTACAATATCTTGGGGCCCAGATGATTGGCTCCAGTAACAACCGTCATCATTTTTGTGCTAGACACCAGAGAGCTTTCGCCCAGTTCCCTTGATTTCCATATTATTTTGGCTGCTTGGTGCTTTAGTCTATCACAGTGTCTTGATGCAGAGAGCATTCATTGTTCCCTTGCCGTTGAAACCTGTGTGAATGAAGGCTGTAGTTGGGTCTGGAGTGAAATGGTCCAGTATTGGTGAGCAAGTTATTGAGAATGTGCAGCTGGTTTAGCATTACCAGCCACACGTTGCTGGTGGAAGGTCTCTTGTGGTGCAGTAGTAGTGTGCCTCGTGGGTTCAAGTCCCAGCTGTTCCAGAATAACATCTCTGAACAAGTTAATTAGAAAATCTATATTGTTGATGATTGAGTGAGCTTAGACAGTAATTGGTCAGATTGAATTTGAATTTGTTCTCCTG